AAAGCGAAAGTTTAGATGGATGGATGGATGGATGTTTGTTAGCGTTTGTAGCCTAAACGGCTGAACGGATCTCCATGATATTTGGCACAGGTTTAGAGCATAGTCTGGAAGAACACATAGGCTACTTTTTATCCCGGGAATAGTTACGGTTCCCGTGGGATTCATTAATTTAGTTTTTTTATTTTACTCGATCATTCTGCAACGGTTCAACATATTTTATTGAAATTTGGCACAGATGTAAAACAAGGTCTGGAGTATACATAGGATAAGCTTCGTCCCCGAGGTGTCCGGTTTCCGAGAGATACGTAGCTTATTGTTATTTATATAGTTCGTATGTTTTCTAATACCACGCGGACGAAATCGCGGGCAACAGCTCGTAATGTTATAAATGCGAAAGTTTAGATGGACGTATGTTAAATGTAGAGGATAGTTTGGAAGAACACATAGGCTACTCGCTTTTGTTTTTTTTTAATTCCACGCGGACGGAGTCGCGGGCGAAAGCTAGTAATATTATGAAGAAGAAATATTTATATTTTTGTATTTATTAGAATAACTCAAAAACTATTCGACCTAATTCAAAAATTCTATCATCATTATAAAGCTGCTTTATTATTTTTTATTTTCACCTTGCCGAAGTCACGAACAACATCTAGTTATGAATAAAGATTACGTTCGTATTATACAAATATACAAGTTGATTACAGGAAGTTCGTAGCAAAGGGATCAAACTCAGCAGTACAGGAGATATGTACCAGAGATAAACAACCAACAACGCCATTTACACGATTAAACAAATAAACTACTCAAAATCAAATGCTATTTCTGTAGAATGGAGAATGTTCCTAATATACTCTAGATTATTGTATTATTCAAACTATTTAACATCTTACATACAATCAAGGGCGGATCCAGCTTTGGCGCTAGGGGGGGTCACATAGTCGTGATCGAGTCAAGAGCTTGACAAAATATGTAAATATATTCCTTCTGTATCTGTCAATTGTAAAACAAAAGCAAGCACTAAAGTACAAAAAAATATAGTATCAGTTATTTGAATATACTGCATTCAGTGCGTCATTTATCTAATTAATATTAGTTACCTCAGTTGCTGCATTTATTCATGAACAGAATTTATCCCAACATTGGTATGCATTATCAGGTATATTCCATTATTATATCTGACAGAATCAAGCTTTATACGTTGCCGTGAGCTTGACAAAATATGTAAATATATTTTGTCAAGCTCTTGACCAACCAGCTCAACCGCCGTTGCATACAATTGCGAAAGTGAATCGATACCGACGCGTAACATGAGCCTTAAATACATACGTAAATACCGGAATTCTCCTAAAGGGAAATATTAAAGTACAAGTCTACAATTCCAGATTATTCATAGATCTTACTAAATACAAATAATAATAAATCTATCCTATTATAATAAAGCGTAAACACACATTTCTTTGTTGCCTAAGATGTTAGCAATTACAGCATATTTTTAAATAATTATTTTTTTAATAAAAAGCCCGACAGTTGCGTCACGTTTTAGGCTATACATTAACGCCATTAAACTTAGGGAGTAAATATTTTGGATAAAAACCCTAATATGGGAAAGAGACCATTAGTTGCTGCCAACATCAAGGAAGCAAAGTTGTCATCATGTCATGTCATTTTGACATCTGTAATTGATAATTTGCCAAATTTAAACAATAAAATAAAATTTTCATAATTTCATGCGAATGAAGTCGCACGGGAACAGCTAGTATAGATATAAAAGTACTACAAACAAAATTATTAATTGTAGCTGCACCCCTATCAAAGGACTATGTACGATAGAGTTATTAAAAGCCGTACAGTCATAATTCCTGAATCTTATTTACATCCTCTTAACAGATGGGACACTAAAAATAAAACCTCTTTGATCCGATGTCCGTTTACATCAATCTGGAACGCGAGAGGAATCGATTTTTTAAACGAAACAGATTGGCATTCGTTCGACGTCAATATTTAGTCTATGGCGTCATTATTTCGCAATAAATGAACTGCACAAGTTGGAACATTAAAACGATTTTTATTTACTAAACCTGCCTTTTGTATATTTATAGTAACATTTTTATCTTTATATACAACGAAAAACAACAAATCAGAATAAACATTTCTAAACACCATCTTTAAACTTATCGACCGATTTGAAGTAAAGCTTTATCTTTTAATTTGTTTTAGGAAGCAGTTAGTAGTATTTGGTAGTTTTACTAAATAATAATTTAAATTTAAATCAAAGCCCTTATCGGACGTAAAGTACACTAACAAATATCGTACAAGTTTTTACACATACTTTCTCGCTAATTTTCGTGCTAGGTCCTCAGTTCTGCATGTGGCGATCACGATTTATGCGACAAATTTACTGCGACAATTACACGGCGCTGGAGCGACCGAGCTTTATGGCTATTGCTTCACATCGATACAATTCGAACGTAGATTGAAAATTAGAAATAACTGATTTCAAAATAACATCT